GGAAGGGGGAGAGAAAAGGAAGGGGGAGAGAAAGGGGAGGGGAGATGGACAAAGAAGGGGGAGAGAAAAGGGAGGGGAGATGGACAAGGAAGGGGGAGAGAAAGGGGGGACAGGGAAGGGGGGAAAAGGGACGGAAGGAAGGCTCGACGACGTGGGCGCTCGACGATGTGGGCGCGCGTCGTCGTCTTGTTGCATTGTCGTCGTGGGGTCGCGTCGCCGTTGTGTCGCGTCGTCGTCGTGTCGTCGTATGCACTCGTCGTCGTCTTCGCCAACGGGGTGGGTGCTCTACGTCGTGGGTCGTGGCCGTCGGTTGACGTGGCCATCCTCCGTTGACGTGGTTGTCGTCCGTTGACGTGTAGTCGTCGTCCTCATCGTCCGTTGACGTGGTCGTCGTCCGTTGACGTGGTCGTCGTCCATTGACGTGTGGCCGTCCTCGTCGTCCGCTGACGTGTCGTCGTCCTCGTCATCCATCGTCGTCCATCGTCGTCTTCAGTGGGCGGTGACAGCGACGGTTGTGGCCGGTGGTGGCCGTTGGCGAGGGTGGTGGCGTGGTGTGCCCGGTTGTTGTCGACGACGATGGTGGTGGTTTGAAGACAAACGTTGTGGATTGTTTGATGATGTGAAATCGAGCCTCGGCGTTTGCCGAGACTCGATTTGGGCATGGGTATATTAATGTTTATTAATATTATTGATTAGTAATGTGTATTCCGGACATTGCATTCTGGTTGCATTCCTTTTTGTCCATTCCGGGGACCATTCCGGCTACTAATCAGGAATGACATCATTCCCGAGGAATATTTGTCCCCCGGAATGTCATTTTGGCTGGTATCTCTACCAAATTTGATTCCTCTGGATTCCGCTGGATTCCGCAGGAATGACCGGAATCCGGCAGGAATCAGTGGGGCATGATAAAGACCTCACATATATACTAGACATCGTCAAATGATTACCATGCCCCCTCTTTCCTTCCTTCCCCCACCTTCCCCTCCACTCTGTCTTCCAGGACTTCTGGCACATCACTCTGGTCCACTTCAGTCACCCATTTTTGGGTACCTATGAGGTTATCCAATTCTTTGAATTAGGGAACCTTAGTGGTACCCCATTCCAGAGTAGTATGACCCTCATACCAATTCCATCATACCATGGTATGGATGCCACATACCATTCCACCTCATACCATACCATACCATACCATACCATCATTCCATAGCTGTCACAGGGTGTCTGGGGTCCTTTTTACAAAATATGAAAATTATTTCTCCAGGCTGCAATGCTGATCCATTGGGCTCCATTTTTTGTGGAATGGTTCTTCAGATTTCTTCTGACATTTTAAGCTACCAGTGGAGGCTATAGGATGAACTTGATCCTTTGAAAATTCACTTGAAAATTAGCTTTATTGGGCTTTATCCCAGGGTTTGGCCATTTTCACTGTGGATAATCTATCACAAGCCACTTAAAAGTGTATATCTTGCCAGGCCATTTATATTCATGACAAATAAATTAATGTTGTATCCATCACAATGGCATGGGCTCTGAAGGAAAACAAGAATTTTGCAAGACTTTATTTATTGCAAAGGCATGAACTTTAGCCAAATTACTACCTACCTTCTTCAGATAGAATATGTTCAAAATTTGCCATTTATGAAAAAGTATGGGGTCATTCCATAGGAATGGGATCATCAAAAAACTTGGATTTGGAATCTCCTCATATCTGCCAGTCAGCAGAGCTGGCATTGTGGGGAATTTTGATTTGAACATTTGAACACAAGCAGGCCAAGACTTCTAATTACAAGCTTCAAGGTATCATTATTAAATATAGCTATTCTAATTTAAATCAAAATTCTGTCTTTCATACAATTAATCAGGGATGGTGAAGAGGTCCATAACATTAACAGCAATATGAACAAATGCTATGGACATTCACCTATGAGGGAGCAACTTGGGAGATGCTCTTGGAACAGATTGCCAATTCCTTATCCCACATGTCTTCAGAATCATACAATAGAGATGGAATCATACCATGGGAATGGAATCATTCCATTGGGATCATACCATGGAGATGGAATCATACCATACCATACAGAGATTTGCTTACAACATCCATATGTTAAAACAAGTCTATTCAAAATAACAACCACATGAAATTTACATGTAAGCCAAATATGGTAATATAGCCAAGAATAGCCAGGAAATAGCCAGAAAATCAGAAAAAAATGGCAGGGTGGTGCTCACTGTTGGTGATGACATTGGGGTTGTTTTCAGGGTCCAGGGCACATTTCCAAATATGGTATTATATCCAAAAATAGCCAGAAAATTGTGAAAAAAATTGGAAAAAAACATATGAATGGTGTACAGAACATCAGGCACTGCCTTCAGGGTCCATCCCAAAAGGGAAATATCACCTGGTTTGACTAAAAAGTGAAGAAAACCAAGACAGGAATGATTTGACCTATCAGGGTCCATGTAATGGGTTGTTGGGATGATGGTCACATGACCAATTACCAAAAATGGTCAAAAACGAAAGTTGTAGCCCTACACTGTAGCTTCCCAAATCTGTTTGAATTATGTTCTGAAGTGCTCCCGTTGTGGAGATATGAGGTCAAGGAATTTCAAAAGTGTTGTATTTTTTGTTTTTTGTTTTGTGTGTTTTTCTCCATGAAAACAAAACCAAATAACATGATTTTAGTATATTTAGAAAGCTAAAAGAAAGGGCTACAATTATTGTATCATGGGAAAATTGACCAAAAAAGGAAGGTGCATGCCCTCAGATATAGACTACCAAGTTTACTGATAGACTACAAAAAAGTCGGACTTAGACTACAAAAGTCAAACTTAGACTACAAAGCTTGCTGATAGACTATAAAAGTCAGACTTAGACCACAAAAGCTAGGGTTAGGGTCAAAAGGTTATCTTGGCTACAAAGTTTGTAGTGTCTGCTTTTTGTCATTACAAAAGTTTGTAGTGTGTGCTTTTTCATTAGAAAAGTTTGTATTGTCTGCTATTTGAGACTACAAAAGATTGTAGTGTGCGCTTTTTCATTAGAAAAGTTTGTAGTGTCCGCTTTTTGAGACTACAAAAGATTGTAGTGTGTGCTTTTTCATTAGAAAAGTTTGCAGTGTCCACTTTTTGAGACTACAAAAGGTTATAGTGTCTGCTTTTTCATTTAAAAAAGTTTGTTGTTGACATGTAGTTTATGGTGTCCTTGGCTCTATCTATGTTATGGGGATGAGGTTGAAGGATTGCCATCCTTTTGCCAGTGTTGCTGCATTGGTTTTTGACATCATGCACAAGTTGTCCATCAGGAAAATCACGGGCACTTGATTTTGCCAGATAGTATTTGTTACTTCAAAACAATGTGGTACTGCTTTGACCTGTTTAGTAAAGTTATAGACAATTTTGAAGATGCTTTGCAAAGTAGGCAAAATGTGGTAAACATACTAATTATTATAAGCCTTGGATAAAATTTGGCATTGGTCTGCCAAAATCTTGCAATTATGATAGCCTAGTTACACAAAGAGGCCAACAGCTAGAATTCTGGCAGCCAATGATAAAGGAAAATAAATTTCAACCAGCTTTCCAGACCTCTTACCATAACTTGCCAATATCCCACAATTGTTTGCAAGGAGGATATAAATATTCTATTACCAGGCCAACAACAAGATTTGTGGAGGACTTATAACAAGAGAGAATAATTTTTCAACCCATTTTCCAGACTTCCTACAATAACTGGCCAATACTCTATAATTCTGACAGCATGGTTACAAAAACAGGCCAACTACTAAAATTGTGGCAGACTCATAACAAAAGAGGATAATTTCAACATACCTTCTAGACATTCTACAAAAGTTTGCCAATGGTTTGGGTGGCCAAACTAGTAATAATGCACCACCGGGTTTAGAAAACTAACACGTCACACAGTGGCATGCGGCCCTATGTGGTTATGTGGACGATCTGAGCCAAACAGTTCGTGTACTAAGTGTACAGGCACAGTTTTATTCGCCGTTGTGATATAAAGCTGGGTGATTCGAAAATCATCGTCAACCAGTGTGCGCTCTAGCCTGATCGTGAAAGGTATCACACTTGAGACAGGGCCCAGTCTGTGCTTGGGACAAAGGTACCTCCATAATCGTAAACACATGTACAATAAGAAAACAATTAGGCATGCGTAAAATATTGATCAATTTAATTCAATAGTGCTGAACAATAAGAACGTCAAGCACATCTCCAACGCTTATTTGAACAATTGGTGTGAAGATTAACCTGAAAATGTTTAGTAACTATGGGAGAGGTTCTCATTGTTCAACTTTTGCAATCAATGTCGAAGACTATAAGAGTTACTCCCTTTCAATTCCACATTCACAATAAGTTGAAACCTTTGAACCTGCAGCACATTTTGAACTTCACCAAATGTCATTTCTAAAGTATGGATGGCACCCACAACGTTATGCATATCTAAAATAGTGTCGTAATTATGTACAATGAGCATAACCGCCAAGCATAATGAAAAAATGTTCCAAGGTCATAGTGAATGCCCGCTCAGAGTCCCGCTCATAGCCCCACTCAGCCCCGCTCAAAAGACATTATGCCCGTGTTACTACAAGGTCCTTTGTTGGGATTTCGGCGTCGATCTGTCTCCTATATGACTTCGCTTTCAGATCAGAGCACCCGCAGACGTCTTGACTAAAACGCTGAATCTTGAATTGACGCCCTTTATGCGGGCCATCAAAGGCGGCGACCATTTGACATGCTATTTCCGGTCTCTCTGGCACTAAATACTTGAACGGGACTTCCAACGATTGAAAACCGACTTTGATTTTGACCGCGTCCCCAACGACCTCCCGAAATTCGCCGCACTTGCCTTCGTGTTTTCCACCGTAGAAATCGGGGTCCATGTTGATCAACCGAAGGCTCAGTCTCATCCCATTGAAGCAACTGTCCCTGAGCCAGTAAGGGGAAGGGGCTGTATCACATTAGTAAGCACTATTTAGTTGTATGGATGTTCTCACCATCATCACCAGGGCGAGGGGTACGCGAGCTGGGATTCCAAGCGGGACTTGCAGGTATATCTTCAGGGTTGGGAAGCGGGGTTGCCGGTACTTCAGGTGGTGCCGCATGGAGCATATGAGGATATGGTATTGGCTTCAATGCTGGGTTGGCTGTATTGGGCGGGGGGAGATAGTCAGAAGAGGGGCCGGCCATCGGCGCCAGGGGAAGGGAAGTCGCTGGAAGGAGCCCTGCATCCACGCTAGGAATGTGTTAGTGAAGGTTTTTTATGACATATATGAAGGCGTACTTGAGATGAAGGGAAGAGATCTTGAAAGGTTCTGGGCGCTGGAGTTGCGCATCGAGTTCAACAAGGACCCTTCCATCACCCATCGTACTTTTAATACGGCCTCAATAGTTTTTGAAGCTGCCTTGAGTAATGGTCAATGCTTTCCGACAAGATGACTGTTTGGGTCGCCCTTCATTGCCTTCTTTTGTGCTGCCGTCAAAGGAAGGCTAGAACCGGGGGCCGTGGCATGATGATGAAACGCTGGGGTAAAAAACTCGACGACACCAGGAGAAACTCCTACCTAGACACCAAGATCAGTGATAGATGTAACTCAAAAAGTCGTACTTACTTCGTTTCCTGTCTTGTCATCGAAAATGGACAGATCATCGTCGTCTTTATTCACGACCCACCCAATGAACCCCTGGTGATCCCCAGCTGTTACGCGTACTGCATCTCCGACTTTGATGTTTTTCCTAAGCGATGAGAGGGGTAAGGTCGACGTGAGTCCGTTCTCCGGAAGGAAAACGTCTGCTTCATTCCCCTTGATCTCGATAATCCGTCCATATAGCCCCTTCTCGTCACCTTCAATAATTTTAACAGCATCCTCCAGGCGGAAGACGTGGGCGGCCATCTTCGCCATTGTCGCCGTCCTTGCCTCGAGTGGAATCTCGGAACAGGTGCTGAATCTCGCAAATTCTTCAGGCGTCGGTATAACGTCTTCTGGGGCATACCAGTCGGTATCCAATTGTTGTAGAAGTGCATATCCATCTTCATCATACAGAATTCCCTTGAATAAGGAGTAGCAGTTTCGCTTCTGAAACGCCCTTCGAAATCGATGCTTTGCTATTGTTGGATTGAATAACGTCTGAGGGGGGCGCCCCGGCGCTGACGCCCTTTTCAATAATTCGGGGTTGGGATTGTATTTGCCTGCAAAACGTTCGTCGTATTCGTCGTCTATGGGATCTTCATCATCACCACGCTTTTGGGGCTTTTCATATATGATTTGAGGGACTACGCGGACGTCAAGGATAAAGGATGGACTGGCGCATGAAATAAAAGCAAGATCTCCTTTGTAAACCCCACGGTGGAGTCTCACCCAGCCATGCTCTTTTGGTTCGAAAGAAAAGGAATTAGGAACACGCAACAGCATGCGGGGATCGGGAACCATAACCGCAGAGATTTTGGATGGAAAGACGTTTGGCAGACCTTGACAAAGCCTGGTGACATTGTCTTGCGAAGAAGCCTAAAAAAAAACTCTGCCCGGTTGTGCAGGCTGCCCGAAGACAGCTCATACTTTGAAGTTGGCTGGAAATCTTGCGTCAGTAAGGCGACGAAAGACCCGAAAGACGGTATGTTCCTCATAGCCAGGCTAAGCGAGTCAGCGCTAGACAAATGCAAAAGAAGTAGTTTTACCTTGACGATTACGCTCCATAGAGGGTTTTCCCCTTCGTTTCCCTCATCATCAACAGCTAAATTGGATTTCAAGTCATCGTCTGACTCAATTCTCAAATCTCCTGGATTGGGTTCTCGTCGACGACCACCGGAATTCACATGTTGTAGAAAGCCTTCCCAGAAATCGTCGTCATTGATTGGGATCAAGGCTTCGTGGAGAAGATGCCTATGCGTTGAATCTGAATCTCCAACTGTCGGCTCTTCATCGTCTATCAGGTCATCTTTTGAAGTTGACATTAGCGCAGCGCCAGACGTTGATCCTTTTTGACATACCCAGGTCATCCTCCTCGTCTCCTTCGCCTTCGCTTTCATTGTCTGAAACTTGAGCCTCAAAATCTATGAACTTGCTAATATCGTCACCCTAGAGGTTGCTTGCTTTTCATATCTATAGCACGCTCAAAGTTCGGAAATCCTACCTGAAGCTTTCTGCGTTTCGTTGGCCTTTCTGTGAGCAATTCTCGGGTCGTAATCTCCTGCTGTTCATATTTATTAGACGAATACTAGTTACTTTCAACTAAATGTGAATCTTTACATCTGACATTTGGGTCACTGGGTAGTCGTACTTGTGTGAAGTTCGGAAAGCGTGCACTGCCGCTTCCAGATTGCTTTTCACATGTTGACTTTGGGGCCGTTGCGCAAGTTCACGTGACGATTTCAAATACGATCAAACTACTACCTACAACGAACTAATGATGGAAATGAGGTGTAAGTTTGAGGCAATTCTGTATAAGGTCAGAGATTCTGTCAAATGGGAGGTTGAGAAGAATAGCTTGAACACCGCAACAGACTAAGATAATGCAAACTATCTGCCAGAAGGATAATCCTGTTGAATAGACGGGTGGGGGTGAAGTCTTTTGGGTATCTTCTGCGATTTCCTAACAGAGGGTTAGCGGGGTCGTGTTAACAAAATCCGTATGGGATACCTTGATCAGTGCCCATATTTTGATCGCAATGTCATCAGTGTCAGATGTTCCTGTTACAAGGATAGATTTTCCGTTGTCCGATATTGCCTAATGAAATTCAGCTAAGACGGTTGGGTGAAGTGAACGGGATCTCGTACATTGACAATTTGGACCAAACCTGCCACATAATAAGCTGAAGAACAAGAACCGGGCGGGAGAAAAAAAAACGTACCTTTCCCGTGAGGCAACGACATTGACAGCTGACCTGTGTGGTGGTCATAGATCCGCAGACAGCCATCATCGCTCCCCACTACAATCAAAGAGGAATCCATGACGGCGGAAACGAGCAACGGAACGTTGGAGTTAATGGGATGCCGAAACGAGCGAAGCGGCTCCTGAGGTGGGATTGCATATGTATCCACACCATCAACGAGGTTTGAGACAATCAATGTCCCACTGTCGCCAGAGATGGTAGCATGTCCGCTAACACTTCTAGTTAGTAGACTGGAAAAGGAACATAAGTTGGGCGTACATCCTCATGGGCAGACTGTGGCACCACTCCTTCACCCAGTTTTCGATCTTCATGCACAGCCTGGCAAGTCTCGTAAGTACACAGCTTAAATGATGTTGAACGCTTGCATACACTTGGTGTGACTCCAAATAACAAATCAGAAGGTTTGAGCCTCTTTCATGGAAGGAGACATTTCGAATGATATATGGGTCAGAATCGAGGGTATGAATTAGTTTGAAATGTCCTTCGCAGCAGAATTAGCATAATGAGATAAAAGAGGGGGGAAATTCTCACCTTCCATGTCCAACTGCCATACTTTGGCGCAGCCACTTCCAGCAGATGCAATGCGGTGGTGATGGGTATCGAAGGCAAGGGTTTCGACACGACCGTCGTGGGCTGGAACTAAACATGTAGTGTGGTAAGGTTCCTGCATCAACGATTAATAGGATAATGAGAAGAAAAGGGAGAAACTTACATCTTCCTGGGTTTGATGGTAGGCAAACATCGTTCCGTCGGCACAACCGAATGCGAAAGTAGTGCTGGGGCGGTTTGGCGAGATTGGGGTCCAGACAGCGGCAGAGACAGGTCCATTGAAAGTGACGGAGATGGTTTGTTCGAGACTCCCGTGGAGGATATTCCAGACAAGTAACAACCCGTCATCCGCTATCCCAGGGTCAGCGATGTAGGGACAGGGATTGACGAGGACACATACCACCACTGAGGAGCATCGTAGCATCCTTGTTTAATTTCAAAGTGTTCAACGGCTTAGTATGTTTGACCAGTGTGTGCCGACACTCAAACTGGACAGTATATAGTGTTAGCAGATGAAATCAAACGAAGCCAAGAACTTACAGCGGGAATATAGCTGTTGTTCATGATTCAATGGCCGAGAGGGTATCGGGCTGGAGATTAAATGAGAAAGACACAATAGCAAAAAAAAAAAGATCAGGCAGCGCATACACTGGGGTGGGTCACTACACCGAAAGTTACCTCCGTGTCATCCAGCCCGCTCGTACTGCACCGACCATACGTCTCTTTTGTTTTTGTTTTTTGTCTTATTGTACTCATCGTGATCAATCTATAGTAAGGTACAAAATGTTCTATTCTATATCTACATTACATTTCTATGCTACACGAAAAAGTGAAGTTCGGATGAGGCAAGGAGGTGACGATGATGAAGGTGGGAGAAGGGAAAAGAAGAAGATTTGGGAGCGGCATTACAGTGCGACTTTAGGGCATGCCAATTCGAGTCAGTGATTTCCACGTACTAAAGCACGTGCGGTTTTGAAGCGACAGCCCTAAAGTTTTGAAGCGACAACCCTAAAGCTCTGAAGCGACAGCCCTGAAGTGGTCGGTACATATACCAACGACAAGTCAGAAAGCGTCTTCCCTCTTTCCACTCACTTACCTTACCTTCATGAGATAACTAATAATAGTTCTCCTTTGCGATACCTTGCCCCTTCCACTCTTTCTTGCCCTTTCCACTCTTTCATTTGTACTTACTACGCGTATATACATGTAGATAATCTTGCAAAATCAAATGTAGAATAGTCAGGTACCAGTCAAGAATGATCGAAGAAAACAAAAGCACTAAGTGTGAATGGAGATGGAACTTGTCTCCATTTCGAAGTGGAGTATGTAAGTACAACGAACTGTGATCATCCGACCGTGGCTGATTGCACATATCAGCAGGGTGGAGCTCCGAGCTATTGTGAGTCGCATCGATGCGACTCGTATTGTTGCCATCGTGCTCAGGGCAACTGTATCTCAGAGTGAGTCTTCAACCGCTCCTGCGGTGACCTTTCTAATTTATTGTCTTTGTAGATTCCAAACAACTGAGTTAAATACCAATGTTACTATACACGAATAACATCCTCAGTTCCCAATTTCCAAATCTCATTTTTAATATGTGTCTTCCTTCGTCCGGACAAGTAAAGCTGCCGGCAGCATTTGTCAAGAAGGTGCGACTTGCTCCTCGTCTTAGATGATGCGCCATTGACTTAGGTGGTGTCTCAGATACTATCGTCGCGTCGCAGTAATGGTTCTTTGAAAAGATCTCAACCAGACGTAAGTACATCTCATCGCTGTATTCATCTTCCCAGCCCATGTTCCCACAGAGGTCTGGCGATGTGTCAGTGATTGGGACCGAAGAACCATCCTTGCAAACACGCACCAAGAGACAGAAGCAGGTCTGCTTGTTCCCTTCCTGCGGCGGTTCTTGCTCAAGTTTCCTTTCCTGTTCTTCTAGGCACCCCCTTTGCATGAAGAGCTTGACACATTTCCCTCTTCCGATTCTGCTAGTCCCGCCCTTCTTCTTGATCTCCCAAACGAACTTCTGCAACTCATTCTTTGCAACCTTACCGATTCCGACTTATTGAGCCCGGCGCTCTTATTCAACCGCAGACTTAGAGCCAATGCCGCACATACGTACCTTGCCCGCACCGGTATCATTGAACATCACAATGGGTACATCTACATCAGGGACGTTGTTGGACGTACGGCCATCGTCCTCCTTTCCACCACCCCCCTGTTCGACAAAATCTCACTAACTTGCGACCTCTTCTACGTTGTCGAGTACGGGAGGCACCTGCGGAAGCTGATTGCGGCAACACCTCGAGTCCGGTCCGTTTGTATCGAATTTGATGAGAGAGAAATGGAGTTGTTGCATGACACGAGAATTTTGGAACCTCTCATCGCATTCCTGGCGTCCTTGAGGGACACATGCTTCAGTCTCCAGCTTCAGAGATCAAGGTCATACTTCACCCCTCCAACTCGTTCCCTCACTATCCCACTTCATCGTCCTACGCGGCCTGTCCGTCAGCTCCCCACTTGGGGTTTGCTGAAAGGTATCAGTTCATTGGCAGTTTCTGCAGATTTGACCAGAATTCCAAGTTTGCTTGAACTCTGTCGATCCATCTTCGTCATCGCAAGTTCTCACATTGAGGATTTTCAGCTTGAGGATTGCTCTTTGCAGCAGGACTGCGATAGTATCCTATCCCTCATTAACTTTCCCAAGCTTCGAACCTTCTCCATTCGGTCTTTAAGCCACGTTACAATCTCGATCAAAGTTGCTTTTTTCAAGCAACATTCCTTGGTCAAGACGGTCTTTCTTTTCAGTAACCCTCTCAACGGACTCACACCCACCGCCCCAAAATCTGCCCTTTCCCTACCTCCTCTCACTCATCTATTCTTGAGTGCCAATTATCGGCTCTTGAAGGAGGTCTTATCAGTGCCCCCCCTATTCCTGCAGGAATCCGGTCATTCCGGTGGATTCCAGTGGAATGGAATTTAGCAGAAGGCCCTGCTAAATTGTTTATTCCGGTGTGTTCCATTCTGGTGGAATTCCGGTGGATTCCGGAATGTACACCGGAATGTTCCCCGGAATGGTCTTCCCCGGAATGGGCAGGAATGGTGTTCCCCGGAGTGGGCAGGAATGGGATTCCAGTCCAATCTGTTTATTTTATTTATTTGTTACTGTATTATAGTTTATTTATTTTCAATGGATTACAAACAATGTTTGTTTGGTGAACATGCTCACCAAACATGGCCACTCTCTTCTTCCGGCCATGGTGCCATGTCTGGAACCAAAAAGATGCCCGATTTGGACATAATTCTCAAAGCGGTAGTCCGATCAGACCCTACCTTCCATTTCAGAATTTATGTCTATATCCGGCTTATTGTGAACGAATTAGGCATCTTTTACATGTGACATCTTGCTTGGGTCACACGATTACTAATACTAATTCTGCATGCTCAACATGTATCTTGCTTGTTACTGCACCAATTTCCATTGTCGAACATGCAAAGTAGCACTAAAAAATTAGGCCATTGCAGAGGTACTCATATTGAGGAAGAGCACAAAGCAGGAGATGCCAGATCACAAATAAAAAGTAAATGGAAGAAACATCTGTAACCCTCCATGGTGTCTGGTTCTCACCTACTCAGGATCCTAATTTCAAAGCTATGGCTCCCTGTTATCAGGAAAGGCCAATTGTAAGAATAATTTTTATAAAATGCATGAGCACTTTGAATTTTTTTACCATAAATCAACTAAAAAAAAAGAATAGATAAAAGGAGGAAAATCTAGCAGAGGATTCAAGCACCAAGCTATGCTGCAGAGTTCTTGAACCATTTTTATACATTTATAATGAGAGTATGGGGAATCAACATCACTAACAGCCCTGGGGAATAGTGTTGCCGCGTTTTTTTAACGGCTTATTTTTTGTTTCGTTTATACAGAGCGTAGTTTTCACTCGAATTTTACGTTCTCAGATCTTCCGAGTAGATGGGAAGTAGATCTAAATTTTTAAAAAAAGATCGCCAAGGACGACCGAGATTTCATTGAGAGATTCAACCAGCTTTGAAAAAAAGCCAGCTCATTTGAGCTGCGACTTGGCGACCAGCTAAACGTAAATAGCTCAACGAAAACGCAATGCTTTTTTACGTTCTTTTTTTTATAATTTAGACCTACTTCCTATCTATCTGGAGAGTCCAAGAACGTAAAGTTCGAATAATAATTACGCTCTCTATAAGCAAAACAAAAATTTACCAGCTAAATAACGCGGCATTACTACTGGGGAATGAAAATTTGGATCGAAGTAAATATGTCTGCACTCTCAGCAACAGGTATTGCATCAGTTTCCTTGGCATCCATGTCCTCAGGCATGGTTATATATGTTGGGTAAAACCTCTAAGTTTACACCCAGAGGAGCCTTCAGCAGAGAATTTCTCCTATTTCTTTTGGCCAAAATGCACAAGGTAAATTTTTACAGTAGAAAGCACAACTAGGATTATCCAGTTCTCCTTCAAGAAAAAGGAGGTGCATGGCCTGCATTGATTCTGCAAGAGAGGATCAGATGTATGCATGTGCAGGAAGAGGTGGAAGGGGAAAATGTCAATTCTCATGAATTCTTTCCCAATCTATTGGTTTGAGTTACTTATATCCATACTTTCTGGTGTTTATAAATTTCTAAGTGGTGGTGTGGGATTTTTGGTGCATAAATATGCAAATAGGAGAGTAAGAAGAAGTCAGAGCAAATATATTTTTGAGAAAAGAAATTGCAGCCTGCAGCAATTGAACCAAAGACCTTGCAATACATTATCAGTCTTAATCAGATCTTTCCGTTGAGCTAAGCCACCCTTTAAAATAACATAATTTATAGTGCACAAGATATGGAATTTTTGATTTTTGATTCTTTTTAAAATTGGTTCCAGACATGGCACAGCCATGGTGCCATGTCTGGAACCAAAAAGATGCCCGATTTGGACATAATTCTCAAAGCGGTAGTGCCATCAGACCCTACTTTCCATTTCAGAATTTATGTCTATATCCGGCTTATTGTGAACGAATTAGGCATCTTTTACGTGTGACACCTTGCTTGAGTCACACGATTACTAATACTATTCTGCATGCTCAACATGT